TACCTTTTCGTGAAGTATACCGGTCATCTTTGGGCCGATTACATATCAATTTGCTGACGATTTAAGTTTCCCTCCCAAAACTTTAGAGATTGACCGGTCAACTAACTGGTCTTCTCCTTTGACCGGTCATGGGTGGAATACACCCATCAAACGCAATATTATTTGAAGAAAAAAATAAATGACAAAATTATAGTATTATAATTACATACCGTAATTATAAAATTTTAATTCATAAATTCTACTAAGTAAAATCAAGTATGAAAAACTGAAAAAGCAAGTTTATAAATAAATATATCATAAACTAATATCAATTCGTCAATTTTTTTTCAGTTTTCAGTTTTTTTATATAAATATATTATAAATAACAAATTCAAATCAATTCATCCAAATCAAATATATAACAAATAGAACCATTAAATCATTCTATTTCAAAGAATGAAATTAGAAAATATTTCAAATTAAAAACTAATAATTAACCCTAGATTTTAAATTTAAAAAATGAAACAATGAAAGAAAATTAAGATTTAAGAAATAAAAATTACCAAATTGGAAAGCTATGAATAATTGAATATGGAATACTTGAAGGGTGGAGGCGTGGAGGTCGGCATCCGGCGGTGGAGGCGGCGTCCGGCGTCCTTTCTTTGGCTATCGGCAGTAGCTCTCTTCACGACTTCGCCTCTTCCGATCCCTTTCTTCTTTCGGCTTTCTTCAATTATTTTTGTTTTGTCGGGTGAGAGGTGGAGTGGTAGACTGGGCTAAGGTGTAGAATAAGTGAAGGGGTGGGTGGATTGGGCCTTAACTAAAGTGGGCTTCTCATACACACACACACACATACATACATATACATACATATATATATATATATATATATATATATATATATATATATATATATATACGGAGTATATAATACTCAAAAAAAATATTTTGGTGCCCCTAAAATTATTGGGCCCGGCCCGGACGGACACTTTGTCCCCCTAATGGGCCGGCCCTGTATTTGTGCTACCAAGCACAAGAATTGGAATTGAAATCCTCAATTACATAATTTGAATTCCATGTACCAAACGGGGTCTTATGGAAATTTTACGTTCTCTTTAACAATCAATATGACTCTCATGATTTATTTAAAGATGAATGTGCGTGTGTGTGTAATTTTTAGAAAAAGAGAAAAAAAAGGAGGAGAAAAAGAGAGGAAGACAAATGGTAAAAAGTTTTTACTACGATTTTTTGTGTTATGATTTTTGAAGCTACGGGGCTTCACGAGTATTTCCAGTGCCTTTAAAGTGATATAGAGAAAGTTAATAACGAAAGCGACCTGACAATAAAAATAAGAAACAAAGGAAAAAATAGGAAGATTAGATAAGAATATTGTTAGAACAAATTTAATGGAGGGGATATTAGGGATCCAAGAAGTTAGATTGTTGTGAGAAAGAAGAAAGTGAGAAGTGTCAGAGACTTAGAGAATATGAAAAATTTTCTTTAGTCACAATATAAGTTGAGTTTTTGGTTGGGTTAGCTCATTACATGATATCAAAGTCTTGATAATAAAAAAGTTAAGAGTTCAAGACTCACCATCAACTGGTTTTATAAAAATAAGATTTCACATCCAAGACTCAAATAAATAATGTCTGCACGTGAGGGAGTATGAAGTATATAAAAACTTTTCTCGGTCATAATTACAAGTTTAAGCTTTTGATTATGGGTGTGTCTCGTTCCACTTATTTTTCTGTTTATTACTTATTCATATTAAAATCAGATCAGATCTGATTAGACCAAATCCAAATAGATAAGATCAAATTAGATTAGATCAGAAACATCCTTAAATATAACTACAATGCGACCAGAAAAAAAGAAGGAAAAGAGTGAAAAAAATAAAGGAATTTATTTTTTTACAATGATAAAAACTTTTTCCCAACTATTAAATTCTTACAAGATATTGCTAACAATGCATGTTGGTGTTTTATAGTGTTTTTTATAATATATATTGACAACTAACCTTATTAATATTATAAATCCTATTTTTTCGAAAATGTAAAACTTTTACCCTGTATTTTCTTAATTTATCTATCTTTTACTTCTAGTTTCATATATTTAATTTATGAGTAAGGTTCCGTTTATATTGGCCAACAGTGCTACTACCGGTATAAGAATGGGCGAAGATGAGAGTTTAGAGGGTTGGTTAAAAGAGATGGAATCTTGCGAACAGAACACTAGGGATGCTCCAGAAAACATACATCCTCCCTCTCTAAAAGATTGTCACGACTTGACCTTTTTGGTCGAATTGGTTCACGTTAACCTCGAATTATGAAAAATATATATTTAGTGATAATGTAAAATGTATAAAATGAGTTTATTTAAAATATAATTTAAAAATTTCAAATTTTTTAATATTAAATTATTTTAAACTATATTTAATTCATAATTGAAAGATATTAGAATTTGACCAAAAAAAATGAAAATGATAGTAATTTTTAATACGGGAAAGAATCATAACATCCAAATGGCACCATTTCGCAGTGTCAAGTCAACCGTGTCATTTATTTATGGTTAGAAGTAATTTTGAATATCAAGAAATACTGTCTCCATCACAATTGGCTGAGTGATAAGACTGTCCAATTGAATTCGGATTTGACAACACTATGAATCCTTTCCTTAACTTAGATTTTCATCTGATTTGGCTGCACTATTAACACTACTCTCGAAAATCGAGTAATTTCTATCATGTTTTTTTTTTTTACTATTTTACTCTCTCCGTCCCACTGTCTTTGTCTACTTACCTTTTGGCACACCATCCAATGCACTTCTTTAATCCATTTTATCTTGTAATTTGTATATTAAAAAATTATATAAATTATATATTAATAATCTATATGTTAAGACGAATCAAACAAGATCACACATGACTATTTTTAGGCTTACACATTGAGAGAATTTGATGAGTCAAAGTGCTTAGATGAACAGTTCCAAAAGTCAAATGTGGACAAAGACAGTGGAACGGAGGTAGTATCATTATTTAAATCTTTGTTGTTGTTTATGATTGAAAATATTTTTAGTTTGATTTATTTTAAGATTAAAGTAGAATTTTAAAATAGAATTTATATATTTAAAAAAATTAAAATAATACTACGGGGTAAACGCACAATATAAAATGAGACGAAAAAGATACGGAGTAATTGTTAGTTTCAAAATTCAAATAAGAGTATTATGTCTAGGCGTATGTCGGCATTATATGTAGTCCGTATTATGTCGAGAAAAACACATAAAGGTATTATTTTGATTTTTTGCCTTTAAGTATTACCGACTGAAGTTATTTTTCCGTTGCGTGTTATGATATTAGATTGAAATTATTTTCAAATAATTTTATTTAAAAAATAGTGTAAAATTAAAATATTACATATTAAAATACTACATTAAAAGATATGACTATATTATTTTATCAAATGAGTAATGAAAATTGGCTAAAGTGAATAAAATTTGACCATGTTAATAGTGAATGTGAAGATAATTTTTTGGACAAAGGGTATTTTATTTTAGTCTTTCTTTATGTATATATACTCTCTCAATCCCAAAATAAATTGCATGTTTACTATTCGAGGGATCAATCTTCATGCACTCTCTTTATTTTTGTTAGTCATTTAATAAAATAATATAGTAATGTCACCACTAATTTTGTACATCTTTTGATGTAGTTTATAAATATGTACTCGATAACATTCTTAAAATTTACAAAGTAACTTTACTAGTCATCCTATATACTACTCGTAGTATTTAATACGAAGTATATAGACGGTCAACCTAGAGTATGTATATGGTACAACGGCTCATTTTGAAGTAAAATAGTAATCATTATCGAACAAAACACTAATATTAATTTTAAAGTAAGCTAGTATTCATTCTGAAATTTGTTCAATACAATTATAATATTAATTTGGGAAAAAAGACTAAAATATGAGTAAATATTGAAAGTATAACAAATAGGAGTATCTTTTGTGTATTCTCGAAATAAGCCTTAAAATACATTTACATTATCAATCATGATCATGTACTTTACCAAAATGTATAGTAAAATGCACATGTACAGTATCACATTAACACTATGCGCACTCCTATTTAGGAAATAAAAACATGAAACTCTTATTTTGGTACTCTCTCTATGTTTTTTTCCTATTTAGGGCGATTTTTATTTATTTATGAGTAATGTAATGTTATTCTGAAATAAAATAGTACTCGTTTTCAAATAACTTTTAGAGTGATCGTCGATCAGAATTAGAGTTCCGCCTTCTTTCTTCTATGCAAAAGACCTGATGGGAATTAGAGTAGCGTTCATCACTGATCGGAATTATAGCAACGCCGGCTACAAATCATCCATCCATGCATCGTGCATCACCGATCAAACTAGGGTTTCTTGGTCGCCAGTGGTCCATCCTGCCTCGCCACAGGCGTTCAGCGTTCTCTTCCTTTCCGTCCAAATTAAACGCTAGGAAGAACCGTACATTTTGAGGATCTTTTAATACAAAGTATAGTTTGTTGTTTTTAAATATGGAGTAGTTTTTAATTTTACACCAAAATTTAAATCAATGCGAGGAGACTACCCCGGAGTATATTTGTTTTCTTTTTTAAAAAATTGACGGGTCATGAAACTCATGTACAAAAGGGTGACCCTGGTGGGTTTGACATCAATCGGATAAACGATGTTTCCACTGCTATGTTTCCGAAGGTTCCTCGGACTCAAAAGTCAGTAGACCCGACGATGGTAGATTTATACATGCTACAGTACCTCTGGTTTCAGAAATATGCCACTGTTCACATGTGGCATGACCATGGTTAAAAAAAAAAACAAAAAACTCAACTCAAATCAAACATTTGCCCTGATTAGATATTGCTTTAAAGAATGCTATATCCTGCCACGCCTTTTAATTGTTCTCCATTTTGCTTTTCCTTTCTGGCGAACATGATTTCACACATGGTTTCTTAGACATGCATTATAGCGCACACAAGTTCAAAAGCAAAAAAGCAGGCAGGGCATGAGAATTTGGACACATTACAAGCAAGCATTGCATCTGGATACAACTCTAATAATTTTGACTAACAATGAAAGTCTTCCAAAAATGGATTGTGCATCCAATGACCTCCTGTGTTCATCATCCATGAGAAACCAGAGCCGAATATACTTTCAAGCATAGAGGAAAGAATTGGGTCCTAGTTGGCAACCTGCTTCGGGTCGGGCACCAAAAGAGTGGATTGGGATCGGTGATGGGGAAGCGTGGTGGTAGGATGGCACTCCCCCGGGGAACTGAGTTAACCGGGGAGTGGCAAAACAAGTATTGGTGTAGTTTGAACTAGCGAATCCTGATGATGCTGCAGTAGAGTAAAGTGCTGCTGGAGGAGTTGGAGGAGGAAGAGTCCTACCATGGGTTTGTGCCCAGTTTGGTGAGGAAACATTTTCCCTGCCCTTCTCTATAGTTGTTCCCTGCAGGAATGAATAAATGAGACATTGATTAGTAGTGACATGAACACATGGGTTTAGAGAATTAAAAACATAATTTGCAGGTGAAAAACAGGCATGGGTATGATAAGTATAATGTTGGAAGTACAGTTGAAACTATGCTAGACAAAGAGGATATACCCTATAAATGGGATAGAAATGAGTGTTGGTTGCATTGGAGAGTGGCAGATGCTCAGGACGCGTTGATGGAGAGGCCTGCATGAGAGTATAATAAAATTGGGTTGTCTATTAAAAGTATAGACAACATAGAGAGAAGTATTTGTTCATTGAATTAACACACTCACCCCAACTCCCATATGTTTCAGACTGGCTAAACCACATTGTGAGTGTGAGGCCCCCATGCCATCCACACAAGTAGTAGGAGCAATGCCCAAATGCAAATCCAGATCTTGACTGAAACCTACAAGACACCATTATGTCATCATCATGGGGAAATTCAGGAAGACTGTCGATTGAACAAGCAACATTGCAAAAGAAGAGATAGGCAGTACCTCCATTTTCAATTTCAGAGCTCATCTCTCCTTCATATGAGCTTAGATCGAAATTAGTCACTGCCTCCCTCCCGTTCAATTTTATGGCAGCCTTATCATATGCCCTGATCAAAATTAGAGTCATACTCTGAGTAAACACATGTTCTGCAAAAATTCTGAACATAAATGAGAAGAGTGAAGTTATGATGCTATATGGGACCTTGCAGCTTCAATCTCAGTGTCAAATAATCCAAGGTAGATGTACCTGCAGCCAAATGTTGTGTGCTAACCAATAAGAACACGCATTACTTGAGAGTTTGTAAACTGTAGGAAATAATGATAAGAATGAAGGATGTCTATTTTGCCCAAACAATGCAGGAAATAGCATCTCACTTCTTGCCAAGGAATTGCCCCATTCTAGCCTCCCATCGCCCGCATTTGTGCAATGTAACTCCTCTATACCTTGAACTCCCTCTAGAAAACCCAGTGCTCTGACGGCGGAGTATTTGCACAAACTCTTCCTTAGTGAAATTCTTCATCTGCTTAGCATTCACAAGAAAAAATTAAAATGATAATGATGTGAAGGAATATCAGATTCTTTCCGATAACACTACTCAACCTGCTGGAGATCTTCTTCATAATCGCTGACATTGAAATTGATATCAGCATCGAGTCCACGAAATTTAATTGCAGCACGGTCATATGCCCTGACATTAATAAAGACTCTTCAAGTTAACTCCAGCTACCATTATTGTAATCACAACAAGTTTGAACCACAAGATAAATATGGAGCAGAGAGCCTGGTTAAGAGATTAATTACCTAGCAGCAGCATGTGCAGTATCAAATCCTCCTATGAATTCAAATTTAAATTCCAAATTAAGAATACGTCAGTTGAAATGCAGAAGCAGTATTTTTTTTTGAATAACATCATTCAACAAAATCATTCACTTACCCAAGTAAACTTGTTTCCCGCAGTCCCTGCAAACCAAAAAAGATAGCAACCAGCATTATTGGACATGGGAATTTCCATCAAATACTCGCAATATGGTGTGGATAAACAGCTAAACCATCTGTTGTGTTTCTCAATGCATATAGACAAACACCTTAGGGACACTAGTGACAATTACTGTCGATAAGAATGATTGATAATTACTGTCAATACCAAATAGTTCAGATAGCTAACAAATTAGGAAAGAGTCTGATATTCCTTTGAACTCTACCCCCATCTGTTCCTCCTATTGAGGAATGAAATTGAACTTATGCACGCATCAGAAAGGGATAAACCAATTTCAAATAGCAATTGCTCGGCGTTAGCTAAACACTATGGGGGTAAAAAAAATGCCAGTGAAACATTATGATAGTACGAACTTACCAAATGTGGGACTCCCACCGTCCCGTTCTCCTGTAGAATGTGACTCCACGGTACTGAGAGCTCCGCGACCTCGGTCCTCTTCTACTCTTCTTCACCAGCGGCCTCTGTTGCGGCAAAATCATAATCCTCGGATCCGTGACCAGGCCGTAATTGGGCGAGAGATTCGACCAATGGCGCTGTTGCTGCGGAAAAAGCCCCGCCTCCCCCCCGCTCAGCGGAAACAGGTCCATGGTCTCAAATCCACCTCGACTCCCACTCCCGCCATCCTCTCCGCTCAGCATTTCAAAGGCGTAGCCATCTGAGCAGGAGTGCTCGTCCTCGTCGCCGACGGCTGTGGAGCTCTCGGCATTCACCACGGAGGAGTTCGAGGTGCCGGAGAACTCCAGGAGCTTCTCCGACGGCGGCGAGTCTCGATCGCCGGTCGAGTCAAAGGCGGTGAGATTGAGGTCAAACATCGCCGTCGATCGCAATGAATCGCAACGAAGAAACTGTGTAGAGAGAGAACGCAGATGGTGTGAAAGAGGAAGAAGAAGAAGAAGAAATGGATGTTGGTGTAAGGCCGGTCCTATAACTAACTGGAAACGGTGTAACAGCCTACGTATATATATGGGGAGAGATTTACGGCATTTTCTCAGGGAGAAACGAAGAAGAAAAAAGAAAGAAAGAAAGGGAGTGTCTGTTATTTAGTCTCTCTCCCGCAGCACTGTACGGATATATGGAAAGGGAATCGATTGGACCTGAAAACGTGATGTGCGTGCTTGCTAGATTTTGCAAGAACGAACACCAAAGACCAAATGGAGAGCGCGTGGGGTTTATGATTTGTGTTTTTTCAAAGTTTCTCTATTCCTCCGTTTTCATTATTTTAATTACTTGATATTTTATAAATTAATATTATGTTATGTTTTAATATTCAAATTATTGTGAAAGATGTTATTAAAAATCAAATTTAGCATTAATTTTAGAGCACAAGTACTCTGTAAAAAATAGGACTCAAAACGTGCACTTTGCACATGACTCTCATTTTCTAACACTTTCAGACCAGCCCTAGGTTCTGGTTTTGAAACCGATAGTACTCCCTACCGTCGGAGGTAGTGTCGTCACTGATATCGGTGGAGGCGGACAAGCAGTTACCAGTTGATTCATGCTATTTTTTGTATGACTAAAGCTTTATGGCTACATCAAAGTTTTATAAAATAAGATATGACAATATTTTATTATTTTCTCAAATAGGCATCGAGAATTAGTAAAGATCGTGGTTAGAATTTGACCTTATAAATAGTAAATAAGCAATTTAAATTGGGATGGAAGAATTAAAATAATCAAAATATGACTTTAATATTTTTATCTTCAAAATAATACTCTGCTAGTTGAAATGTCAATAATATAAATATATAACACAAAACACCGTGAAATCAAATATATATGAAATGTCCAGTGCAATAATCATATCCTGGGTTTAAAACATGTTCTATTTTGGGAAAAAATTCATGTCTTGTGTCTATTTTGGTGTTTTTTTATAAAATGGTGAGGCTCATTCCATACCTCATTTGGCTAAATCGGTCCCATTAAATAAGAAATAGATAGTTTTTCATTCACATCTTTCTTTCTTTTTTAAATATTTAAGAGCGAAATATGTCCTTTTAATATCAATAGGGTGGACATAGTCCAATGAGGTGGATTTAGCAATAACCTTCATTAAATTACAATTAAGAAATGAATAAATTATTACTAGCTTGCTACATAGTTATCACTTTTAAAAAAACTCTGCCCCCACTTGCATGAGATTCAATTGAGTTGTTGTTGCACTTTAAATTGAAAAGATAATATTGCACTTTGTAATATAATTTATATAAATTGTACATTTAAACGAATAATTTCTCAAAACTTCTACCTCCTTATGTGGTTGTAATTTCCATGAAGTGTAGAACGATTGCTAATAATCAATTCCAAAAGCAAACGAGCGTCTCGACACATTGTTAGAAATGTGATTCTCTCAATGTGTTTCCGCTTGAACTTAAGCTATATTCAAACGATCGAAACTAGTATGAACTATGAATATGACTTGTTTTGCAAACATGGACATGACCGAAAAAATAAATTGGTAAGAGCTCCACCATTGCAGCATGTGAAATTTTACTTCAACTCTTTCATTTCCGTGAAGATGAGCCCAAGCCCATCACATGAAATTCAAATAATGTGCAGTGATGCGGTGTAACATTTTGCAGCCCATTTTAAAACATAAGCCCATACCCACAATCCATTCTCAGGGAGACGTGTACTGCCACTCTTTCATTTCACGGACTGTTTTTTCACCCTCGACGCACTTTCTGGGAATCGGCACTGCCCTCTTCTTCCTTCTCGCCGGACACAATAACACCGAGTCTCCGCCGCCGGACCTCCGGCTTCCGCCTCCGCACATTGATTCAGGATACACTCGAATCGGGTGACTTTTCAATCGATTTTATTCTCTCAATAACCCGCAAAGAGGTCGAATTGCGCTCTGGTTGGGGATAGAGTTGGATGAGAATCTGAGATGCCTCCGAAGCAGCAAGCGAAAGCCGATGTAGCGAAGAAGCAGAAGGTCGTAGAGGACAAGACCTTCGGTTTGAAGAATAAGAACAAGTCCAAAGCCGTCCAGAAATACGTCCAGGCCCTCAAGCAGAACGTCCAGCCTAAACCTGACCCCAAAAAGGTCGATGCTAAGGTATGCCATGAGCAGATGAGATCGATTTTTTTTTAATTGCAGAATTGGCATTTGTATTTGTGCATTTTTTGTGTCGTTATGGCTTATTGAGCTTTCGTCAGCTAATTTTCTTATGCCATTTGTGATTTTGTGCAGAAAAAGAAAGAAGAAGAGAAGGCCAGAGAGAGGGAGCTCAATGAATTGTTTAAGGTTGCTGTTAGTCAGCCGAAGGTCCCACCCGGTAAATGTTTTTCTACCATTTTTGAACTGATACTGATTTTCTGAGGATGAATGCAGACATTAGAAAAGTGGTTCCTTTCCAGAGGAGATGGATATTTTTATTATTTTTGTGGGCAGAGATTACATGTGCAAGAAGGGGAAGCCCATGGAGAATTCTAAGTTTGATGGAAAAGGCACAGGGGAGAGTGTGTGATAAAAGGAGGCTAGAAATGTCTGTCCTCTTATGAGAATAAATTAATGTTCATTTATAAGAGAACTACTAGGGATTAGGATCCAAATGTGTCTATCTCTGCTTCAGGTTTGGACTTGTGCAGTATTGGGGGTTGTAGAATTAGTTCTAATTACATTTGTTTCTTCCATTTAGATTCTTTTTCTAAAGTATATTACTTCCTCTATCCTGCTATAATGTTCCACAATTGACCAGCACAAATTAAGAAAAGTAAAATTATGTGGTTAAAAGTGGTGCAAAGGAGAGAGAAATAATAATAGCCACAAAAAAATTTCCAAAAGTGGATCATTTTTTGGAATAGACAAAAGGAAATGTGGAACATTATTGCAGGACGGAGGGAGTATTGGTTTGTTGACATGGCATTGGAAGTTGATTAGAAAGAGATGTTCCTTTAGAGTTTATAGTGTGTCATAGACACATATGTAATAATAATGTTAATAATGCCAATTGTTAAGTCACCTTGGATGTATTGCATGTTAATGTATGTGTAATTGCATTTGCAAGTTCCACCCCTGCACTCTCAGACTCTTTTTGAGAACTCTTGAATTTGTTGCTTTTGTTAACTTTTTGGGTGATATTTCTTCCTTACCATTGATCGTTGAAAGTAATATTGCTGCCAATGTCATTGCATATATTAAGGAGCCATTTGTAATGTTATGGTCAGGTGTGGATCCAAAATCAATACTATGCGAGTTCTTCAAAGCTGGACAGTGTACAAAAGGTTTCAAGTGCAAGTTCTCACATGATCTGAATATTCAGAGAAAAGGAGAAAAGATTGACATTTACAGTGATAAACGTGATAATGGTGATTAACTTGTTATAGTCATTGTAATGTAGTATTTACTCATTTTTGGCTGTATCTTTGTTGATCTTCCTATTTTATTTGAATTTGTTTTTTTACTTGATTTTTGCTTAAAAAGAAACAATGGAGGACTGGGACCAAGAGACTTTGGAGAAGGTTGTGGCATCAAAAAGCGAGGAATATAACAAAAACAAACCCACAGATATTGTAAGATTTTTTTATGTTCCTGTTGTACTTTGTTTTTATTTTTTTTGTATGGTTTGTCTGCATTATTAATATAAGTTAGGCGAAGGGGATTATGATTAAATTTTTATGCTGTAAACTCTTTCCATGCTTTAGTTGTAATAGTTAATTTCAAACAAGAGATGCAAAAATGATCAAGATATACCTACCACTCTACATATTCTTTATGTTTCTCATATCTCACATGAAAGGTGGGTGTGGGTGGGATGTGATGCATTCTTTCTAGAGTACTTTGGGGCACCCAAGATTAGTTGGTTTTCAAGAATTAGATCAATGGTTAAGAATTGATCAATGCTCTTGGTCACAAACACAAAAAATATCGCTTGCTACTATCCATAGATATTGCATCATTCCTTTAAAAGACACCACGATAGTCCTTATTAATTGTAATGACTCCCTCCGTTCCACTATTTTTACCCTTTTTACTTTTTGTTTGTCCCATCATTTTTGTCTCCATATTGTGCTTATTTATTCTATTTTTTTCCCAACATGGGCAAACGCTTTTGTGCATTCCGGCATTTCACTTTTGTGTATATCGTACAATTGTGAAATGTGCAATCACTTTTTTAGTCTAACACGGGCCTTACAGAGTCACACACTTGCAAATGCTTTTGCAGCTATAAGTTGATTGAACTGAGTTGATTTCTTAGGGATAATGTTGAGAAGTCACCATCCATAGTTCTTATGTTCAGGTTTGTAAATACTTTTTGGAAGCTGTGGAGAAGAAGCAATATGGATGGTTTTGGACCTGTCCCAATGGTGGTAAAGACTGCCACTATCGGCATGCTCTTCCCCCAGGTTATGTTCTGAAATCACAGATGAAGGCTTTGTTAGAGGAAGAAACAACAAAAGTATCTATAGAGGAAGAGATTGAAGATAAGGTAATTGGTTATGCTTTTTTTCCAATATTAATGCTCCCTTGTCCCAAAACCAGAGCTCTGTTTGAGTAAGATACACCTTTTTATTGCTAGCCAACTCAATCAAGGAACACACTTTTCCAAATTTATGTGTGGTTACTTCTATGCTTTAAACTTTTTTTCAAAGATTGTTTGGAGTAATTGACTTCTTCACATGAAATTTAGTTGACAACTAAAGTGACGATACTACTAAAAACTGCTCTCTTTTAAGACCAAACAAGGTTTTGAAACATGGTTCTTTTTTAGTGCAGATGAATTTTAATTAGTTTTCCTGATATGAGATCTGACCCTTATTGTGTGCAGCGTTCAAAATTGACCACATCAACTCCTATG